ATAGATAGATAGATAGATAGATAGATAGATAGATAGATAGATAGATAGATAGATATATAGATAGATCGATAGATAAATAGATTATTAACTGTGGCTCCCCGACTACCCAATAAGTCAACGTAGCTAGCTAAATTAAAACGTAATGCTCATGCACACACTCTGTGGGAACGAATCGTCAGTTCATTGAACGTTTGATATGAACTTTATAGCAATTAATTGGTAAGCTGTTAGTTTAACATTATTCGTCTATCTAACAGAGCAGTTGGGGGTGGGGTGGGTGGGTGGGGGTGGGGTGGGGTTCTTTAATCTTTAAAAAAAAATACAGTTGACCAAAATTAACAATCGATTTCCGTCACTAAAGACTTTTCTTTTGACTCTTGCGAGTTCTAATATTTCAGACAAACTCTCCCTCCCCTTTCTGCCATGTTTCCACGTGCACATACAATAGACAGAGATTAAAAAAGAAGAAACACCGCGTCTTTGTTGTCTCTTCTTTAGCCACCCCCAACTTTGCAACATCCAGCTAGAATCAACTGAAGTCAGCGTTATTTTAAGACAGGGCTGTCGAGACTCAAAACGTCTCTCTGTATAATATGGGTCCTTTGAATCCTCATCAGTCACTGCAGATAGGCGTTCCAGAGAATTCCAGAGACGTACTTTAGGATTGTGTCCGCTACTTTAGTCTGGTCAAGGCAAAGGTCACGGAGAAGTCGCGTTACCCTTGAACCCCCCCCCTCCCTTTCCAGCCCCGTCTCCTTTTCCATACACACACTTAAAAGAGTATAAATATTTACGTGGGCGAGGCTCCCGGGCACAGGGTAAGATGTTTACGGTCTCCGTGTCCATAACACACACGCTAATTAAAAGAGTTATGAACCCATCAGCACAGTGTGCAACAGCAGTGAGGGTGGGGAGGGGGGGGGGCAGGGAGAGAGGCAAAGGTAGGACAAGCCTCAGGCAGGAGAGGAGCGTGGAGTAATAGCCAGTGCACATTGCCCATAATTCGATAGCCAGCGACCGCCCAGATTTCCTTCATGGAGAACCCCATGCTGCCATTTTGGCACAATTCGACAAAGTCCCCCCTCCCCCCAAAAAAAAACAACAAAAAAACAAAACAAAACAAAACCCCAAAACAACACCAACCAACAAACTATTCACACACAGCACCCAAAAATAAAACAAATATATTTGATTTTAAACATTTTTATATAACTCTAGCTGTGCCAAAATGAAAGCTTTTGCCTCTCCAAGGAAGGAAAAAAAATCCGACGCCGACTGAATTCGACTGAATTCGATAGGCAGCGTGCACAGGGTATACGCAGGTAAGGACGTCATAAGAATTCCGTTCCTACAGTCTTCTCTTCACGTTTCTAAAAGACGGATAGAGGCGTGGAGCTTTGAGGACAGGGGGGCGAGAATATTATGTTTTGTTTTCTTGTGTGTGCGTGTAAAAGTGGGTGGTGGTGTGGTTGGGGGGGGGTGCAGAAAAGGAGAAAAGGGAGAGAGGAATACGAGAACAATTAAGAAATACACATTTCTGTTTAGCAGCAGTAGGCCTAATGGGCAGGACGTCGTCTCTTCTCTGAGAATCAAATAAACTGTAGACTGATAACGCTTCCTTCAGCAGCTGGCCACGAATGCAGATGGTTTTCCAGTTTAGACCCGAAACTGGGGCAGAACAGTAGCGGTACTTAATTGGTCCCCGACCACGTCTAATTTTTGATGACGTATAATGGTATCATAATAATATCTTGTTATCCACCCCCATAAACACACCTGGCTGGCCCACTTACTTCCACGGACCCAACATTCGGCACGTAGGCGCTTCCACGTCTTCATTCTCAATTAACTTCTTACTTATAAAATCCTTCGTGTTTTATCAAATTCATTTTCTTGTGTTTGGCATCATTTTCCCTGTTGAAAAGGGGCATAGTTTTCATCTGTTTCGAAGATTTTTCTGTGGAGTTTTGAATCTGAGGCTGTCAGTCATGAATGTTATGCTAATTTTAATTATGGGCTTGTCTCTGATGTTACTTTGAAATCACTAATAGAATGTTGAACCGGGTGTCATAGCCTTCAGATTAATAAACTTATATACTCTGTGTGGATCGCAACGGATACTATGCCGAGAAATAAAGTAAACTTGTAGCTGAGATTCTAAACTTTCTTTTGATCTCTCACTTGTGCAAAAAGTATTGTAAGATAAGAAAGTTATGGCCATACAGGCACCACACTCGTTTCCTTTGCAACAAGTTTACAACGGGGCCGTTTTTAACCTTAATCATCAAATTATGTTAGCTCTAAGATTATAAAATGGTTATGTATTAATCTTTTCCGATTTCTGAGGTAACTCTATACGAGTCATTAACGCCTCTCCATGCTATCTTTCCTCCATTCGGAGAATATCTCATGAAAATGTTAACATCCATTGGAACAAATTGACATTACACGTGTGTAGTATGCTAAATGGTTATAATTATTTCGTCCAGCCATCTGTTAACCCTTCTCTTCCACATTTTCCCTCCCTCCGTCTCAGTTTCTGTGTGATACTCTCTCTCTCCCCCTCTCTCTCTCTCTCTCTCTCTCTCTCTCT